TTCCTTTTTGAATTATTGAAAATAAGGTACGACCCAAGAAATAGCTTAAATTGGTCAGATCATTTGACATCATTTGAAATCTATATTCTTGGGATATCATCATCCATATCTAGGCATTCTATAAATGGAAAGTGCTTGATTTTTGTTACTTGTTGACACTAGGCTGATGCATTCTATGAAAAAGATTGTTTTTTACTTGTAACTAGTCAACTCAGTCTGTGAAACTACTCTTTGGTGTTTTTTCCATCGAAATCTCAGATCCTTAAACGTGCCGGACCATTCCATAAATATGCCTCAGATTCATTCTATTAAAACAGACACCCTCAGAATCATTCTATAAACCAGTTTTTTTCTTAGAATGCAGTCAGCCACAGTCTAGGGCACATTCACGGGGGATGGTTTTTTTTGGGTATGTTTTAGGGTCTATTTACGGTTTACTTAGTGTTGGATTGGCGTTTCTTCAGGGTTGCTTTAGGGTCTCTTGAAGGAATCTTTAGGGTTTCTGGATCCTCCTGCCAGGGGTGACCGATTCTTTGTTCTTGACTTTCTGTCTTCCCACAGGTTCCTTGATCCTCCTGGCTTCCGAAGTGTGATCGACTCTTTGTTGTTGACTTTCTGTTTCTCTATCATGGTCTCCCGGCTTCCCCTGCTGGTGTGTAGTGGTGACTGATTCTGACATGTGGAGTTCTCAGCTCCGACATTTGGCGCGACTGACTCGGGTGACTGACTCTGTTTTTGCCCTTTTTTAACGAGGCGTTATCACTATTTGACTGCGCTCGGACGCCCGCCTCACTGATTCATTGATTCATCCACTCGCTAATTCACTCACCCATCACTGAATCATCGATTCTTTGACTCTTTGATTCCTTGCTTCGTTGCTTCATTGATTCGCATCCAATGATTCATTGATTTGTTGGTTCATTGGTTCCCCGACTCATGAACTTATTTGTTCACTAATTCACTCATTCATTCATTCATTCATGCATGCATGCATGCATTCATTCATTCATTCATTCATTCACTCACTCGTTCATTCGTTCATTCCTTCATTCCTTCATTCCTTCATTCGTTCATTCATGTGTTCATTCCTTCCTTCCTTCCTTCCTTCCTTCCATCCATCCATCCATCCATCCATTTCTTTCATTCCATCCAGACCATTCATTCCAATCCACATTCATTCCAATCATTCATTCCATTCATTCCATTCCATTCATTCCATTCCATTCCATTCCATTCCATTCCATTCATTCCATTCCGTTCCGTTCCATTCCATTCCATTCCATTCCATTCCATTCCATTCCATTCCATTCCATCCATCCATGCGTTCATTCATTCTTTCTTCCTTTCTTTCTTTCTTTCTTTCATCGCTTCATTCTTTCATTCTTTCTTTCATTTTTGTCATTATTTTATGCTTTCATTTTTTCATTATTTTATTCTTTGATTCATTTATGTATTCATTCATTCATTCATTCGTTCATTCATTCATTCATTCATCCATTTATTCACTTATTCCTTCCTTCGTTCGTTCATTCATCCATACACATTCCTTTCCATTCATTCCACTCATTCCATTCCATTCATTCCATTCCGTTCCGTTCCATTCCGTTCCATTCCTTTCCACTCCACTCCATTCCATTCCACTCCACTCCATTCCATTCCATTCCATTCGTTCATTCATACATTCATTCATTCATTCATTCGTTCATCCATTTATTCATTCATTCATTCGTTCGCCCGTTCGTTCATCCATTCATTCATTCATTCATTCAGTCATTCAATCATTCATTCATTCATTCATTCAATTCAATTCAGTTTCAATTTCAATTTCAATTTTAATTCAATTCAATTCAATCCATTCAATTCAATTCAAGTCAATTCAAGTCAAGTCAATTCAATTCAATTCATTCCATTCATTCCATTCAATTCCATTCCTTCCATTCATTCCATTCATTCCATTCATGCCGTTCATTCATTCATTCATTCGTTCATTCATTCATTCGTTCGTTCGTTCGTTCATTCATTCATTCATTTATTCATTCATCCATTCCATTCCATTCCTTTCCTTTCCTTTCCATTCATTCCATTCCATTCATTCCGTTCCGTTCCGTTCCGTTCCATTCCATTCCATTCCATTCCATTCATTCTTTCATTCTTTCATTCTTTCATTCTTTCATTCATTCATTCATTCATTCCTTTCATTCTTTCATTCTTTCATTCATTCATTCGTTCTTTCATTCATTCATTCATTCTTTCATTCATTCTTTCCATTCATTTCATTATTTTTACTCATTTTTTCATTTCATTCATTTCATTCATGTCATTCATTTCTTCCTTCATTCATTCATTCATTCATTCAGTCATCCATTCATTCATTCATTCATTCATTCATTCCTTCATTCCTTCATTCCTTCATTCCTTCATTCCTTCATTCCTTCATTCCTTCATTCCTTCATTCCTTCATTCCTTCATTCCTTCATTCCTTCATTCCTTCATTTCTTCATTCCTTCATTCCTTCATTCCTTCATTCCTTCATTCCTTCATTCCTTCATTCCTTCATTCCTTCATTCCTTCATTCATTCATTCATTCGTTCATTCACTCATTCATCCATTCATTCATTCATTCCATTCATTTATTCATTCATTCATTCATTCGTTCGTTCGTTCATTCGTTCGTTCATTCATTCATTCATTCATTCATTCGTTCGTTCCATTCATTTCATTCTTTTTCCCCACCTGCCAGGTGAGGGTTGTTAGATTTTATCAGAGCTGTTCTCCTCCTCCGCCTCCTCCTCGCAGTCCAGATCCCAACCGCAACTTCCAGATCGCAGTCTGCCTCCTCCTCCTCCTCCTCCTCGCAGTCCAGATCCCAACCGCGACTTCCAGATCGCAGTGGGCACTGCCGGGCCTCAACGGCGAATTCCAGATCCCAGTGGGCACTGCCGGACCTCCACCGCGAGCTCAAGATTCCAGGTTGCAGTGGGCACTGCCGGACCTCAACCGCGACTTCCAGATCGCAGTGGGCACTGCCGGACCTCAACCGCGACTTCCAGATCGCAGTGGGAACTGCCGGACCTCAACCGCGAAATCCAGATCGCAGTGGGCATTGCCGGACCTCAACCGCGAGCTCCAGATTCCAGTGGGCACTGCCGGACCTCAACCGCGAGCTCCAGATCCCAGTGGGCACTGCCGGACCTCAACGGCCAGATAGAATGCCAGAAGATATGCCAGATAGAATGCCAGAAGATATGTCAGATAGAATGCCAGAAGATATGCCAGATAGAATGCCAGAAGATTTGCCAGATATAATGTCAGACGATATGCCAGAAGATATACCAGAACATATGCCAGAAGATATGTCAGATAGAATGTCAGAAGATATGTCAGATAGAATGCCAGAAGATATGCCAGATAGAATGCCAGAAGATTCGCCAGATATAATGTCAGAAGATATGCCAGAACATATGCCAGATAGAATGCCAGATAGAATGCCAAAAGATATGTCAGATAGAATGCCAGAAGATTTGCAAGTAAGAAAATGTATAATTGCCATGGTGGGGATCATTCGAAGTGAAGTAATTTATGGTTTTCCCATTTCATTCATTTCATTCATGTCATTCATTTATTCATTCATTCATTCATTCAGTCATTCATTCATTCCTTCATTCATTCATTCATTCATTCATTCATTCATCCACCCACCCATCCATCCATCCATTCATTCCATTCATTCCATTCATTCCATACATTCCATACATTCCATTCATTCCATTCATTCCATTCATTCCATTCATTCCATTCATTCCATTCATTCCATTCATTCCATTCATTCCATTCATTCCATTCATTCCATTCAATCCATTCATTCCATTCACTCCATTCACTCCATTCACTCCATTCACTCCATTTACTCATTCACTCATTCACTCATTCATTCCATTCCATTCCATTCCAGTCCAGTCCAGTCCATTCCATTCCATTCCATTACATCCATTCCATTCATTCATTCGTTCGTTCGTTCATTCATTCATTCATTCATTCATTCATTTTTCCATTGTTTCGTTCATTCGTTCGTTCATTCATTCGTTTGTTCGTTCATTCATTCATTCATTCATTCATTCATTCGTTCATTCATTCATTCAATTCAATTCAACTCAAGTCAATTCAATTCAACTCAATTCACTTCAATTCATTCATTCCATTCATTCCATTCATTCATCCATTCATTCATTCATCCATCCATCCATCCATTCATTCATTCATTCATTTCTTTCATTTCTTTCAGTTCTTTCATTTCTTTCATTTCTTTCATTTCTTTCATTTCTTTCATTTCATTCATTTCATTCATTTCATTCATTTCATTCATTTCATTCATTTCATTCATTTCTTTCATTTCATTCATTTCGTTCATTTCGTTCATTTCATTCATTTCATTCATTTCATTCCTTTCATTCCTTTCAATCCTTTCATTCCTTTCATTCCTTTCATTCCTTTCATTCCTTTCATTCCTTTCATTCCTTTCATTCCTTTCATTCCTTTCATTCCTTTCATTCCTTTCATTCATTTCATTCATTTCATTCATTTCATTCATTTCATTCATTTCATTCATTTCATTCTGTCATTCATTTCATTCATTCGTTCGTTCGTTCGTTCGTTCATTCGTTCATTCGTTCATTCGTTCATTCATTCATTTATTCATTCATTCATTCATTCAGTCAGTCAGTCACTCATTGCTTTGTTGCTTCGTTGATTCACTGTTTCATTGGTTCATTCATTCATCGATCCATTGGTTTATTGTTTCATTCGGTGACTTGTGCATGGATTTGTTTATGTCGGCTCATAGGCATGCTCCGGGCACTATCTGGTATACGTTGCGTAGCAATTCCCAACAATTGTCAGAACCCTGGTTCAAAATCACCTGATGTTGCCTTGATCCAACATTTCCAACATAAGAGGAATCGCTTCCCAAACGATCCTAAACGTGTGGCCAACGGTCTGCCCAGGACTTTTGGTCAAGGCCTGTCAATGTTTTTTGCCATCACTCTGCTGGTCCATGGCCCCTAGTCGCTATACAGGGCTTCATGGATCTGGCCTGGTGTTTTTCAATCAAGGCCAAGGCCTAGAATTAAAGGCATCGATTTCCAGTTCGGGGGGTGAGATATCATTCGAAATGATGATAAATTACATGACAGTTGAGCCCTTCGAAGGTTGTGTTTTTTCGAGGATAAGCAAACTTGCGGTTGGTAGCCGTTGGATATCAAATTTGACATCATCAGCGTTTGCCACTCCAACGTGTTCTTCGAGCCATGCGATAGTGAATATTTGCTCATGTATCTTCAGATGTTAGATGCATTTCCGGGTGCGCAACGCTTTCAACTACTTAGGTCTTGCTGGGAGTACTGATGTCCATCGGGGCCTTACTGACCCTTGGCAGTCGTGAAGCAAGTGAAACTCCCGAAGAAAGCGTTTGCAATTTGGCAGTCACCCAACGGTTTATAATTTTGTTTTTTGTTCCGTCCAAAAAGAACGGTTGGTCTTGGGGTATACACACACATTTATTACATGCACATACTATCGCATATATTTTACATGCGCATACAGTTTATGACAACCCATGTGGTTTCTCTTGGTCAAGGATGGGAAACCTGTTGCAAGAGTACATCAAAGACGAGGAGTAACTTGCCCTTGTTTGGCGAAGCGTGGAGGACTTGCGACAATCAACTACGCAGTCAGGGATGTCCATAACCACCTCTGAAGTTGTTCCAGTGGAACTTCTGCGGCAACCAAGTGTTTGCCCTTCGGGTCTGGTAGATTCATAGGTTGATGGGCAAACACAACATATGATTCAGCCAAGAATTGAAATCTAAAAAAATAAAAGTTGTTATAAGAAATATGTTGCCTCATTTTTCTTGTATTTTACCACCCTAAACTTGGTTTTCACTCATCCAAAGATTGGTTTTCAATCAACCCAAACCAAACATCAAACACATACAAAATGTTTGCCAGAATGTAGTTTTGGGTGGCCTGAATTTAATTTTGGGTGGCCAAAATTTAGTTTTAGGTGGCCCAACTTTAGCTTCAGGCACCCCCTGCATGTTGAGATTTAGCCAAAAGTAAAATTGATTGGCGCATTATATATCATTTTATATCATTTTTTGGCGCATTGTTTCTGTGATTTTGTGCATGCCGTTTATGTAATTATGTATTATATATATATGTATATGGATATTGTCTTTTGGAAACACGCGCAACAATCCACGAAGTGAAATAGCATTCAAGATCCGAGGGACGTTTGTTCTTGGAAATCGAGCTGAGAGATTGACATACTTTGACAACAATAATGTCTCATCATTTTTTTAAAGGACGTGCTGCCACATGATGGATTGTGCATGTTTTTGCCTGCTGTTTTTGAAAGGCTTTTGCCACCCCAAGCGTGCCCCAAGCCCCGCCAAATCAAAATATGTTCATGGTAATTACATGATTTTGGAGGCACAACCCCGCCCTTGAATGATATTAGCAGCATTTTGGAGCTAGTTCCCCCCCACATGCATGCTATTTGCAGCAGTACGAAGCCACAATCTTTGTATATATATATATGCATATATATATATCTCTCTCTGTGTCCATACATATGTACGCGATTCCTGCATCTTCCTTCATGACGCTTGTGTGGTACAAACTGCCCAGATTTCTTATGTGCTGCTTAGGCTCCTGTATGCTTCGTGTATTGTTTTCTGTCTAAGATGTTTATAATCTACCCCCTTAGTACCGGTAGCATGCCTATATATATACTATATATTTTTGCACACTTATATATGTACTTTTTTTCATGGAACAAGTGGTACCTTTAACTTCGTTTTTCATCCCACTACCATTGGAACCTGTATACCAACCAGAATATGCCTTTTCTCCCAGGCACTGAATGCATCGCACCTGTATACTCCAAAGATCATCTAATACACTTCAGTTAATAGATAAGCCAGTACATTCCTAAGGAGTGGCATTATGTGTTTCTCCCTCGTTTTTGTTTTCTGAAATTTTAAGTCCGGCTGCTTTTGCCTTTGTCTGTTCTTCTCTGCTCCCTAGCTTTTCTGATTCTGTGCTTTTCTGCTTTCCCGCTTCTCCTTCACAAATTGTAAAGCCTTAAACAAGACTTAAATTCAGTGAATCTCTCTGGCCGAAACCAACTTTAAATACACCACAAACCTACTGAAATAAAGTCGAAGCCAGCCCTAAACCAGCCCTAAGGAAACCCTAAACCAGCGTATCTTGAGCCAAACTCTACCGTATGTTTCTGATTTAAAATCAAACCTAACAGAAATGTCAAACCAATCCGCAAACCTTGAATAAACATGATAAACTTTAAGCCACCAAACAAACCTTAAACCAACACTGAACAAAAATTAAGCCAACGCTGAAGAAGCTCACTTTTTATCAACCTTCAATAAACCTGAGCTCAATCCCAAACTAACCCCAAACCACTTTTAAATAAATCCGTAACCCGCCTTCATGAAACCGCAACCCAATCTTGCATAACCTTTACACCTACACGAATCCCAAAGCAGTCCTAAACGTTCAACAACCCCCAAACCAACCATGACTATATTCTAGACCAACCTTGAATAAGCTCCAAACCAACCCTAAAGAAACCCAACTGTTGTCACAAGCTGCAGTTTTTTAGCACATGCTGCAAACATGTTTTCCTACCCAATCCTTAGCCCCAAGGAAAAAACAGACAAGAATTCCCCAAGCAATTTGGCACCCCTGTCCTGAACCATGTATACCATGTGCTACCTGTCGTGTAGCATATTCCTATAATCATAATATGTATATATATATATACATAATATTTATGTAAATGATCCAGTCCCCCGGCCACCCACCCCCCCATGGTATCCCCTCCCTACCCACACACATACAAAGACACATATGCATATCTACCTACATACATTCCTATATACCTACGTACATACCTGCCTACCTACATACATGCCTACATATAGACATACATACTTACCTACATCCATTCTTACCAACCTACCTACTTACATACCTATCTTCATACATACATGTACACATGCATTCATACATGCATAGATACCTACCTAGACACATACGCCAACACCTACCTACATGCATGCAGCTTCGTACATATCTGCCTACCCACGTAGATACATAAACACACATACATACATTACATTACATTACATTACATTTACATTTACATTACATTTACATTTACATTTACATTACATTACATTACATTACATTACATTACATACAATACTTTACATTACTTTACATTTCTTTACATTACATTACTTTACATTCATACATACATACATACATACAGACAGACATATTTACATACATTTACATTCATTTACATACATTTACATTCCATTACATACATTTACATACATTTACATTCATTTACATACATTTACAAACCATTACATACCATTACATACCATTACATACCATTACATACCATTACATACCATTGCATACCGTTACATACCGTTACATACCGTTACATACCATTACAGTACATTACAGTACATTACAGTACATTACAGTACATTACAGTACATTACAGTACATTACAGTACATTACTAATTACAGTACAATTACAGTACATTACAGTACATTACAGTACATACATACATACATACACACTTACATACATAATCATACATAGTCATACATAGTCATACATAGTCATACATAGTCATACATAGTCATACATACTCATACATACTCATGCATAACCATACATAATCATACATAATCATACATAATCACACATATTCATACATAATTATACATAATCATACATAATCATGCATAATCATGCATAATCATGCATAATCATGCATAATCATGCATAATCATACATAATCATACATAATCATACATACCTACCTACCTACCTACCTACATACATACGTACGTACGTACATACATAGATACATACATACATACATAAACACATACATACATACATACATACATACATACATACATACATACATACATACATACATACATACATACATATATTTACATACATTTACATACATTTACATACATTTACATACATTTGCATACATTTGCATACAATTACATACATTTACATACATTTACATACATTTACATACATATACATGCCATTACATACATTTACATACATTTACTTACATTTACATACATTTACAAACCATTACATACCATTACATGCCGTTACATACCATTACATACCATTACATACCATTACATACCATTACATACATAACATTACATAACATTACGTAACATACATTACATTACATAACATTACATAACATTACATACATTACTTTGCATTACATTACATTACTTTACATTTCTTTACATTACTGTACATTACATTAAATTCATACATACATACATACAGACAGACAGACATACATATATTATATTTACATTTATTTACATGCATTTACATACATTTACATACATTTGCATACATTTGCATACATTTACATACATTTACATACATTTACATACATTTGCATACATTTGCACACATTTGCATACATTTACATACATTTACATACATTACATACATTGACAAACCATCACATACCATTACATACCATTACATACCATTACATACATTTACATACATTTACAAACCATTACATACCATTACATACCATTACATACCATTACATACCATTACATACCATTACATACCGTTACATACCGTTACATACCGTTACATACCATTACATACCATTACAGTACATTGCAGTACATTACAGTACATTACAGTACATTACAGTACATTACTAATTACAGTACAATTACAGTACATTACAGTACAATTACAGTACAATTACAGTACATTACAGTACATTACAGTACATTACAGTACATTACAGTACAATTACAGTACAATTACAGTACAATTACAGTACATTACAGTACATTACAGTACATTACAGTACATACATACATACATACACACATACATACATACATACATACATACATACATACACACATACATACATAATCATACATAGTCATACATAGTCATACATAGTCATACATAGTCATACATACTCATACATAGTCATACATAATCATACATAATCATACACAATCATACATAATCATACATAACCATACATAATCATACATAATAATACATAGTCATACATAATCATACATAATCATGCATAATCATACATAATCATACATAATCATACATAAATTTACATAATCATACATATACATACCTACCTACCTACCTACCTACCCACACACATACACGCATACACGCATACACACATACACACATACACACATCCCCTTATACACACATACACACATACACACATACACACATACACACCATTATATTATATTGTATTATATTATATTAGTTTATATAATTTATTTTTTATTATATTATATTGTGTTATATTAAATTAAATTATATTATATTTCATTACTTTACATTACATTTCATTACTTACATACATAAATACGTACATTTTTGCTCCCCCACACTGCCACATACCCTCACCACAGAGGGAGAGATGAATACTTACATCCACACCTACCTGCAGACATCCAGACAAACGTACATACACTTCTGCCCCCCTTCACCACCACATACCCCACCGCAGGGGGGTTTGGAGAGGCTGGCACATATATTCATATTCCAACAGACGTCCTAAACCCTGCACCCTCCTGTATGCAGTACCCTAATCATACCTTGCGTGCGGCCTATGGGGGCATTATAAGGACCTGACCTTGGGAGGGTTTGGGTAGGCTCGGGGGACTGGAATATCGTATTCTTTAGATATCCGCACCATAAGTCATAGTATGCCTTTTCTCCCAGGCACTGAATGCATCGCACCTGTATACTCCAAAGATCATCTAATACACTTCAATTAATAGATAAGCCAGTACATTCCTAAGGAGTGGCATTATGTGTGTTTCTCCCTCGTTTTTGTTTTCTGAAATTTTAAGTCCGGCTGCTTTTGCCTTTGTCTGTTCTTCTCTGCTCCCTAGCTTTTCTGATTCTGTGCTTTTCTGCTTTCCCGCTTCTCCTTCACAAATTGTAAAGCCTTAAACAAGACTTAAATTCAGTGAATCTCTCTGGCCGAAACCAACTTTAAATACACCACAAACCTACTGAAATAAAGTCGAAGCCAGCCCTAAACCAGCCCTAAGGAAACCCTAAACCAGCGTATCTTGAGCCAAACTCTACCGTATATTTCTGATTTAAAATCAAACCTAACAGAAATGTCAAACCAATCCGCAAACCTTGAATAAACATGATAAACTTTAAGCCACCAAACAAACCTTAAACCAACACTGAACAAAAATTAAGCCAACGCTGAAGAAGCTCACTTTTTATCAACCTTCAATAAACCTGAGCTCAATCCCAAACTAACCCCAAACCACTTTTAAATAAATCCGTAACCCGCCTTCATGAAACCGCAACCCAATCTTGCATAACCTTTACACCTACACGAATCCCAAAGCAGTCCTAAAACGTTCAACAACCCCCAAACCAACCATGACTATATTCTAGACCAACCTTGAATAAGCTCCAAACCAACCCTAAAGAAACCCAACTGTTGTCACAAGCTGCAGTTTTTTAGCACATGCTGCAAACATGTTTTCCTACCCAATCCTTAGCCCCAAGGAAAAAACAGACAAGAATTCCCCAAGCAATTTGGCACCCCTGTCCTGTACCATGTATACCATGTGCTACCTGTCGTGTAGCATATTCCTATAATCATAATATATGTATATATATATACATTATTTTTATGTAAATGATCCAGTCCCCCGGCCACCCACCCCCCCATGGTATCCCCTCCCTACCCACACACATACAAAGACACATATGCATATCTACCTACATACATTCCTATATACCTACGTACATACCTGCCTACCTACATACATGCCTACATATAGACATACATACTTACCTACATCCATTCTTACCAACCTACCTACTTACATACCTATCTTCATACATACATGTACACATGCATTCATACATGCATAGATACCTACCTAGACACATACGCCAACACCTACCTACATGCATGCAGCTTCGTACATATCTGCCTACCCACGTAGATACATAAACACACATACATACATTACATTACATTACATTTACATTACATTACATTACATTACATTACGCTACATTACATTACATAACATAACATAACATTACATAGCATACATTACATTACATTACATTACATACAATACTTTACATTACTTTACATTTCTCTACACTACATTACATTACATTACATTCATACATACATACATACATACATACAGACAGACATATTTACATACATTTACATTCATTTACATACATTTACATTCCATTACATACATTTACATTCATTTACATACATTTACAAACCATTACATACCATTACATACCATTACATACCATTACATACCATTACATACCATTACATACCATTGCATACCGTTACATACCGTTACATACCGTTACATACCATTACAGTACATTACAGTACATTACAGTACATTACAGTACATTACAGTACATTACAGTACATTACAATACATTACAGTACAATTACAGTACAATTACAGTACATTACAGTACATTACAGTTCACACATACATACATACATACACACATACATACATAGTCATACATAGTCATTCATAGTCATACAATTTCATACATAGTCATACATACTCATACATACTCATACATAATCATACATAATCATACATAATCATACATAATCATACATAATCACACATATTCATACATAATTATAGATAATCATACATAATCATGCATAATCATGCATAATCATGCATAATCATACATAATCATACATACCTACCTACCTACCTACCTACATACATACGTAAGTACGTACATACATAGATACATACATACATACATACATATATTACATATATTTACATACATTTACATACATTTACATACATTTACATACATTTGCATACATTTGCATACAATTACATACATTTACATACATTTACATACATTTACATACATATACATGCCATTACATACATTTACATACATTTACTTACATTTACATACATTTACAAACCATTACATACCATTACATACCGTTACATACCATTACATACCATTACATACCATTACATACCATTACATACATAACATTACATAACATTACATAACATTACGTAACATACATTACATTACATAACATTACATAATATTACATACATTACTTTGCATTACATTACATTACTTTACATTTCTTTACAGTACTGTACATTACATTAATTTCATACATACATACATACATACAGACAGACAGACATACATATATTATATTTACATTTATTTACATACATTTACATACATTTGCATACATTTACATACATTTGCATACATTTGCATACATTTGCATACATTTACATACATTTACATACATTACATACATTTACAAACCATCACATACCATTACATACCATTACATACCATTACATACATTTACAAACCATCACATACCATTACATACCATTACATACCATTACATACCATTACATACCATTACATACCATTACATACCGTTACATACCGTTACATACCGTTACATACCATTACATACCATTACAGTACATTGCAGTACATTACAGTACATTACAGTACATTACAGTACATTACAGTACATTACAGTACATTACAGTACATTACAGTACATTACAGTACAATTACAGTACAATTACAGTACATTACAGTACATTACAGTACATTACAGTACATACATACATACATACACACATACATACATACATACACACATACATACATAATTATACATAATCATACATAGTCATACATAGTCATACATAGTCATACATACTCATACATAGTCATACATAATCATACATAATCATACACAATCATACATAATCATACATAACCATACATAATCATACATAATAATACATAGTCATACATAATCATACATAATCATGCATAATCATACATAATCATGCATAATCATACATAATCATACATAATCATACATATACATACATACCTACCTACCTACCTACCTACCCACACACATACACGCATACACGCATACACACATACACACATACACACATCCCCTTATACACACATACACACATACACACATACACACATACACACATACACACACACATACACACATACACACATACACACACACACATTACATTACATTATATTATATTGTATTATATTTTATTAGTTTATATCATTTATTTTTTATTATATTATATTGTGTTATATTAAATTAAATTATATTATATTTCATTACTTTACATTACATTTCATTACTTACATACATAAATACGTACATTTTTGCTCCCCCACACTGCCACATACCCTCACCACAGAGGGAGAGATGAATACTTACATCCACACCTACCTGCAGACATCCAGACAAACGTACATACACTTCTGCCCCCCTTCACCACCACATACCCCACCGCAGGGGGGTTTGGAGAGGCTGGCACATATATTCATATTCCAACAGACGTCCTAAACCCTGCACCCTCCTGTATGCAGTACCCTAATCATACCTTGCGTGCGGCCTATGGGGGCATTATAAGGACCTGACCTTGGGAGGGTTTGGGTAGGCTCGGGGGACTGGAATATCGTATTCTTTAGATATCCGCACCATAAGTCATAGTATGTCTTGTACCATATACAGTACATGCTTGCTCTATGTACAGTATAGTGTATTCCTCAACAAACCAAGAAATGGACGAGGTGTTTGGATGTATAGCATGCATGAAACATATGGGACATACATACGTATTCACATGCACATATACGGATAAATCGCATATGGAACGAGGTCTCTTTCTAAAACGGAGCCTCTTACATGGCAATGCCAGCACCACAGTTCTGTGCGAATGTTTTATGTATTTCATGGTTGCAGGGTCGACTCATTGATCAAGACCACGCATGATGTGCAACATTGTTGCATCAACATATGCATTCAAACATGGGTGTGTCTAGTAATCTAGTACGTGGCTCAGAATGATATCCGCGCAAAAGTAAGTGGACATGCTGTGTATTGTTTGATGTTGTTTGTTTTGCTACTGGGTTCATTCTTGATGCACACCGCCGTTCGTGTGACCCATGTGTGGTGTGCACACACCATTTCGTGATGCGAGGCTGGACTTTGAAGATCGCCAGTGGCTGTGGGAGCGCTACGGCACTGCCTACAGGGTTGCTGGGTGTTGTTGTGAGACCACCCCATGCAATCTAAAGCTAGAAATTGCAAGAAGAACCTACTTTAAAGCTGCTATGGGTTTGGAGTGTCTCCCTTGTTTTGCTAAAGCGCTAGTGGTCCCAGATGGTCCCAAGGTTTCCTTTAAAAGACAAAGACCGACTGTGGCATTGAAAAACCATGTCAAGGGATGGCACCCTTTCAGTTGCTCACATGGACACTATGACTTTGTATGTAAATTAACTCCATGCCACCTTATATAATAACTTGGTGCTAGGACGTGCTAGGCTGTGCTAGGTAGGACGACCTACTAGGATGCCCCTTCATTCTTACGATGCACATGCAAAGATAAAGCTTATAGAGTTGCATGTCGTATGTTTTTTTTGGGGAAGTGTGCAGTTCGCAATGCGATACGCGCTTTCGGTTTCCGGTTCCAGTTTTGAAGGGCCACAGTGGCCAGTGGCTTGTAAAGAAGCATTCTGCAAACAAATGCGATTGGTTGTGTTCAACGACTGCAGATTCGCAACAGATTTTACACACACACATATATATATATATATATTTACATATATATATACACATATATATATATGTACACATATATATATATATATATATATACACACATATATACACATATATATATATATGTGTATATATATTTGGTTGCATAAAAACACATGTAAAACAATTAATGTTTTTGTTTCTTTGCGTCAATGCGGGATCTGAACTTCAACCCAAATTCCAACGACACACCAAATTTTTCTGTTCAACGGACCGCCAGGCTTCCTATACATTGTTTGAGGTGCAGCAGCAAATGGTTGTTCCCAAACAGAAGGGAAGTCAATACCAGTTCGGTGTGGTTGGGTCTAAGGTGATTTGATTTGAAGATACCTTTGAAATTTGGAGCGTGCCCAAAGCCCTTCCAACTTCCAATGAAAAGGAAGCCTTTCACACACCCGCAAAAAATGGCATGGGATATGCTCCAGGGCTCTGTTGGAACTGTGTTGGGCTGGGCTTTAAGTGGGCAGAACTAAAATGGCTTCCATAGTTTGGGAATGTTTGGGATATGGCCCCCCCCGTAACTATTCTGGTATCTCCGATGACAAGTAGAATTATGCCCCCAAGTTTGATTCCAGCTAAATGGGACTAATAGAAGAAATTATTCCAATGGACCCCTACTCGTAATATGCATGTTCATATCACATAGTGGTACCAAAACGGATCCCACTATATTGTTGTTGCCTACGACTGTAAAGTGTACATTATGCCATGGCTTTTACAACATGAAATCGACTATCCAATATGTTATCTAGAATGATAACTTGTTCCATACTCCTGGAACCCGGAGTAAGGCCATAAACCTATACTTGGCCAACAATGTTTGGCTCAAGTTGGCCGCTAAAAGGTGTTCTTAGCTTCCTTCTTTTCCGGCTGTTCATCTTATCACTGCACCAGCTGTTAAGTCAGTTACCATCATATACAACTGGTACAATTCTTGCGACCACTGAATTGTTCCTATTTTATCTAGTTATCAGCCGTGGCCGGGCTCTAATCATTCAGCTGTGGGATCATTGAAGTCCTTGGGCGGCACCGCACATTGATTGACCAACAATCAACAGATCATTGAGCATATTTTCTAGGGACCTTGCAATCCTGTTCCCTCGCGCTTGCGCGATACTCGATTTTCCTCGCGCTTGCGCGACGTTGAAAAGGTCTTTGCGCTTGCACGACTGGACGAGCGGCAGGAGGGATCGCTCTATAGGTCTCGACCAAGGAACCGGGGGTGCAGAGGTGGAAATCCTTGGGTAGCATCTCAGGTGTCCAGGTCCGATCGTCAGGTTGATTTCGCATCGCCGGCACAGCTTGCCAGGAATCTTCAGGCCCCAAGGCCAACTCCACCTCCGGGACCACCTCCAGGGGTCACTGGGTCTCTGGATCGTGGCGCTGGATTTGGGTTCCAGATCGGCCAGACGTTCGGGACAAGCCTCACACTCCTCGGCGTTCATTCGACATCTCGATCTCCTACGGTGTCTCAGTGGCTTCAGGATCTGCGAGTGCTAGTGGAAACCTTGGTGCAACTCGATTGACTTTTGTCTCCGGCGGCAGCTGGTAGTGGATCTTTGGGGGTATCGCCAGTGGAAGGCACGAGAGCATTTGCTCCGGTCTTGGAGAGACCACTGATTGCTTTGGATTGGCATCAGACCCTGGCCACGGGAGTGGGGAAGTTCCTGAGGCTTAATTTGGTGGACGTGCCGAGGCAGGCTCAGAGGGGGCAGTGGGACCTTTGTGTGATCTCATTCTGCTCGAGCCCTGATATTCAGCGGTCAGTGATCTCCGGCGCAAGGGCCTTGGAAAGTCGCTTGATTCGTCCGTTTGTGTTTGTTCATATTTGCAATAGGAAGTGGATCAACGACCCTCCAGCTCGACGACCTTCTCTGACCGGTTGCCCACTTCGAAAGCACAGGAGGTGAACCGGGTAGAGCAGCGGTTTTCGTCGACGATCAGGCCAGATTGCTCAGGGAAGTTGAGGATCTCCAGATCAATCATGCCAGAAGGAACTGAACTGGGTGCTTGCGCGGGTGATTTTCCGCTGCGGAGCTGCTTCAGGCCGTTGGAAACTTGAGAAGAATCTTCTCAGAGGAGTCTCAGTGGACTGCGTGGGTCAATCAGCCTGTACCTCAAAAATTCTTTACAAGGATTTTTTGAGGTCTATCTTGAGGGAGCTTGGATCACTTGAACTTCTTGGGAAACCTGCGGACGGTTCAGAGAGATTTGATCATTATTATTGGGTTCTTCTTTGAGTGGGTTTTTGCGTATATCGCAAGCCACAGGGATCACTGTGCAGCTGAAAGTTCCTGCAATTGAGGGGTGGGTCTTCTTGCTGTACTATAGGGTCATTGCCGCGTGAAAAAATGAAGCGTGACGTGCCGGCGACTCCATTCAAGGTTGATTGCCCCACTTCAACGTGGACTTCATCATCTGATTCACCTGAGATTCCCGTAGGACAGTTGACTGGTACCATCCAATCTAGAGCCCAGGAGATGGCAAATGTGACTTCTTTGACAAGAAGGGGCCAACGGTCGTCTTCATCCACCGCAGGTGGAGCGGCTCATTGGGATGGGAGCGAAATGATTGCAGGGCAACAGATTCCAACCAGTCTGCATCAATACAACACTCAGAATCTTCAACAGAATATGTTTCAGCAACAGGTCAACCAAGTAGACCCTGAACAGTTGTTGGAGTCATTGGTGAAGGCTAGGGTGCACAGCATGAGATTGAGATCATTCGGCAACAAGCCGGAAGCAACCAACAAGCGTTGCACGATCACGTCCAAAAGAGGCCACAACAATTGCAACAGGATAAGCAAACAGTTGAAATGAGAGAACAGCAAAACAATGCACAAGCAAGACCAATGTGTGAACATATCCAACAACAGGCGGAAAACTGCATTGCTCAAATGTCAGAAGACAACAGGCGTTCACAACTAGAACCCCAAGAGGTTCAGAAGGCAGCGGAGGGCCAGGTGGCCTATGTCGCTCGTCAAGCTGAGCTGGATCGGGATAATAGGGCCGTGACGGAGCTCCAGATGCTTGGAGCGAAGCTGGAAGCTGCACATCAGCAGTTGAGGAACTCCGAGAGGGTGGCATCCATGGCGGGATCAAATAGTGGATCACCTGTGGTTGGAAATCCTTTTGATCACCCACTTCCCAATACACGGTCTGCACAACATACCGCGATCATGTCAGTTGGACCAGGAGCTAGTGTCGCCAGCATCAACCCCCTAGAGGTGATGTTCTGTTCATGTTGTGGTTCCCAGAACGTAGCTGGAAGACCATCATGTTGGAGATGTTCAACTTTGTTCAGCTCAGCAACAGCCAACAATGGCGCGGATCATCTTGGTGCGACCTCACGCCCGCCCCCAAGTTTATCCCCACCAGAAACCCTGAGATTCCGAGGTGCTGGTGCTGCCAGCGCGTCTATCGAATGCGGCTGCCGGCATTAGCTATCCCTAAAAGGGTGGAAGCGCGTCATCGCTGCACCATCCGGGATCTTGGGCCTGTGGGAGGAGCTGGAGTTGGTATTGGTGGAGTCCCGAGTGGTTTTCCATGGTTTTCCTGTTGGGGCTCAGTGCAGTTTCACACCAGGTGGCCCAAGGATTCAAGGTGGATACATAGTACCCTCCAATCCGGGTCCTACTGCTACTTTTTCGATTCATACCCACTGAGCCGGTTCATCATCACATGGGTCATCATCTTCAAAGGGATCACGTGGTGACAAGGCTTTTCAACCTCTGAAAGATGGTTGGTTGCCTAGTGGACAAACTGAAGAGGATGTCTACAAGTTGAAGCATTTGAAGTCTGTGGTGATCACTAGATTGCCCAATGACGCAACATTGTGCAGAGAGTGGCGAGCGGCTTTTCTAGCTTCAATTTCTATAGCATTGATTTGTCAAAGACTGATGTCGAAATGGGCCAGAAGACTTCATCATGCTCAACAAACACATCGCCGCACATGAGATCACCAGCTGGGTGGAAGGCTGTGCAGCAAGAGCGGAAGGGCCGAAGGGCACCCCACTTTTGAATCTCATCATCTCCTACTACGAGACGGGATTTGACAGAGTGGTGGCATTGGGTCAGATGCATTTGTGGAACCTCCAATTGGAAGGGAAAGGGGCCAAGGACCTAGAAGAGTTTGTACAGAAGTTGAACTATGTTCTTCATGGGCTCGAGTCAGCTGACAGACCATCCCCGAAGACAATGTTTGAATGGTTGTGGCACCAAATCAAAGGGTTGTAAATTTTGAGACGGATCATTGAGAAGGTCGGGGAGTTTAGCCAAAGATCAAAGAAGAGATCATTTGAATGGATTTGGACTTGGACTCAGATCGGTGAGGAACTCAGGGAAAGGCGCCATGACATGAATTATGAGAATGTTGTCAAGGTATTGCGTGGTTCACCCCTTCACCAGTTGGCGCTACCAGCTACAGGTGGGACACAAACATCAAAGACTCCAAAACAAAAGGTTCCCAAGAAGGCTGCGACAGCAACAGCTGCTCAGCCTGCGGTTCCAGGACCATTGGAGGCAGCACAGCCTGCCAAGACCAAGGTGCCGTGCGCGTTACACGCAGCCGGTTACTGTAGGTTCGGTGAGAGGTGCAGAAATCACCACGTTGGGGATCAGGTTCAGAGGCACGGAGGAAGTAAGTCGGTGACTACCAGAAAAGCAAGAATCAGGGGGGGTGAGACCTCCAAGGGTGCTGGCAAGCAGTCCAGAAAAGGCAAGCAGTCCAGCAAAGGAAAGAACAAGGGTGAAGGCAAGGGGAAGAAAGGAGACAACAAGGGCACTAAGGGTAGCACTGGAACTCCGGCAGCAGTGTCTGCGGCAGCATCAACCGTAACCATCTCTAAAGTTGAAGGCAAACAGGCTCAGAAGGCATGGCAATCCTTCTGTCAGTTTTGTAACAAAGCCTTTCCTATCCTTTCCTTCTTTGAACAGGTTCTTGAAGTTGTCCGTTCCCATCTTAGCTACAGTGATTTTATCCATCACCAGCTCCTATGAACAAATTGGAGAACAAACTGCGGCTTCAATGGTTCACCCTGCGGTTCAGAATTTCAAGAAGTATTCCCTGGAGTTCTTGGGAGACATTGGGGCTGCCAATGACATCGGAAGTTTCAGGGCGCTACAGGGCCAGGGACTTAGCAGGGATATGGTGGAGCCATGGATTAAATCATTAGAATGCCACGTGCCACGTGAGGTTTGTGACCGGCGGCGGACCGCAACTCTCCACTGAGGCACTTCGTGT